AAACAAAGAGAAAAAGTCATTCCGTCCGCCGGTCACTAAATAACGGATCTCAAAAATTACTTAATCCGACGACTGGAGAGAAATTGAAAGATGTGTATCTTTATTACGCATACTTCACAACAACACTGTCTCCAACTAACTTTCACTATCGTTGGTATCGCCTTATAATTGTTTGCTCAGATCATTGTTCGTTCCATCCATCCAACTACTTTCACAAAGAAAAGTCGGCATGTGTATGTGTGTACGTACATACGTAGTAAAAGAAGAAGCTCATTTTGGGGAGGCAGTGGTGGAACTCAATATAAAGAAAATAAATGTGGTCCCAAATAGCATCGAAAATCCGACGGATTTACAGCAAACTTACACTGCGATTTATCAGACTCTAAATGCCGTTTACCTCAACCTAGCTGTGCCTCCGTCTCAGCTTTCACATTCTTTTCCCGAGTCAGAAAATCATGCAACTTATTATTAACTTTGCTAGATATATGAAATGTCTAACGGATATCATTATTATTATCCAATTCAAAAGACTCGCTGTGTTTACTCGTAAGAAAATCCATCTCCTATTTTCCTTTTTGTTTGTCGAAACATTGTGTTCATTATCTCATCGTGGCTGTGTGACCACTTCAAACCTAGAGGACTTTTTGATATCATTGAAGCAATAATAAGGAACGCCAATGCCACACGTACTTTCAACTTTTACTTTAGCCTCAAGAAGATCGCAATGGTTCGTTAGTAGATGAGACGACCAACAAGGACATGCCATCACCACGGTTCTTAAAATTGTTGTTGTTATCTATCCGTAGGTGAAATTGAAGAAAAATAAATAAATGAAAAATCGTGCCTTCCTCTCCATTCTTCCACTTTCACCAGCACCAGTACACACACATATCGTCAATCCCTTCTGTCTCTCGGCTTGCCAGGAGGATATCCATCTTTGTTTATTTTTTCCATTTGTTCAGTTTAAGGGGTAAAGAATAATAGTTTATTTATGAGGGGAGCGACGAGAAGAGAAGAAGAATCGCACACAACAATCCGTCGGAAGACATTTTTGAGTAGGCATCACAAATGTATCAATGAGGTTGAAAATGGGTGAATGGAAGCGTAGACACCATTGGATTAGCATAAATGTATAAATGGGAAGGAAAATAAAAATTTATTATTCAAACTCCATTCATGCATATTTTATATTTTTATGTGTCATTGTAAATGAGTAAGTGACACATCGAGAGAAAGGGACACACTTTGAGCCCGACTGAGAGAGAGATAGCGGAGAGGAATCGGATGGGGGATAAGGAGAGAGAGAAAACAATGCAATTTGGATAAAGTGAAACCAAAGGGACGAGTATTGAAAACAGTGAGACGTTAAACGAGAGTGAGTGTGTGTTGGAGGAGAGAGAGAGAGAGGAATGATGGAGAAAAGCAGCAGTGGCAATAGGACACATACGTTATGAATAACTGTGTTAAGGAAGAGGAGAAATAGCCACCCAGAAGGAAGGAATCGGCATTTTTCAAAGCGTCATGAAGTTAAAAAGACTGACTCTCCTATTCCGTGGTCCGCCTGTAATTCTCTTTTATTTTATTTTCTTTCCCAAATTGACGATTTTTCACTGACTTTGAAATTGCAACAGAAAACGAGAATAAAATCACTAGAGAGTCAACTCTGGGAGAGAAAGGAAAGAGGAAAAATGGACTCCGATTTTTCAACAGGCCCAACAACTCAGGGAAGAAGGCAACAAACATCTCTCTGCCGGCCCTCTCTCCATACGCCGCGTTCCTTATCTCGCCTGCAATCATATTCCCCAGGAAATAAATAAACTGACAAATATGAATCCACAGGAGATTCAAAGTCTTCCGTTCTCCTATTTTTCTATATTCTCTCAATCCATTCATCGCATTTAACAAATGTGCCCTTCAACCGCCTTTCCTCCATTGTGTGGCAGCACCAATGGCCATATCACCTCCGAATGTATGGATACCTATTACAAAATTGTTGGGCAACAGGCTTACACAAACAAACCTGCCTACTTTCGCTCTCACTCTCTTCCTCTTCTCCCACTTTTCTTAACTTCACCTCAATTGTATAACCAAACCATCAACTGTCTTGAATCCTATGCATATTCTGCACCCCATTTTCAGTGTTCCTTACCACCGAGAATGAATGAGTAATTCAAATTCTTCTGCAAAAACAAAGGCTAGAAATAAAGACTTTCACCTTGCATATTTTCCAGAGAATATTCAAATATAAAGCTCGTTTTCTGCCTATAAACCCAGAACGAACGAACCATTATGTTCACTTGGGAGTGAAACATGTTTCGAATTGATTCTGACCCAAAATAAAATGGATGAATCCGACCAGAGTGAAAGTTTATATTTACATGTATCACATTTGAAAAGGGTTCTTGTTCGATTCGATTGAATCGACACACACAATGGGGCTAATTCATGGTCAACTAGTCAGAAGGGAAAAAGAGCAAGTTGTTTTTTGGACAGAATTCATTTAGCGAGAGGCTGAACATCATAAATTCACAAAGGATCAAAATTGTCATGTGACAACAGCATGAAATTTAAGTTACTTTTATAGGAAAATGAGCTTTTTATTCTATTTATTATTCCCCTTTCTCCCCTTCCTCTTAACCAACCAAGCCAAACATGCCTGCCTGCCTGCGTTCTTCTTCTGCGGGCGATTGCCTGAATTGCAGCCCTACTGACTTGTAGCAAATGGAGACCCATTATGCACAGTTTTACAAGGGAATGTTCTTGTTGGTAAAAGACACACGCGAAAGCATGCATAGATTGAGAGCAAGTGAGTGAGTGAGTGGCTTTCCCTCTTACATACAACGTCATATTACACAACTAACTCGATCCACTCCGTAACTTGATGTGATCCCTCAGCAGCATTCTCCCAGAGAGGAGAAAAGCAACAACAATTGTATTGCACCACCGAAAACCTATATGTATGCGGCATAATTATATTCATACTTTTAGAGACAGGAAATAAATTTGATCAATATGATAAGTATCTGGACGTCATACATTCAACATTATGAAAAATGAAGGCAGCAGGCAGAAATGCCCTCTTTAATTTCATATGTACAATTGGAAATCACATTTCATGTTTTTTATGTATGTATATATTTTTTAAATCCTCTCGTCCTCCTCCTCCATTCTCTGCTGGCTTCTTGTGATGGCCAATTTTCTGGGAGGGAAGTCAAGAAGAATGACTGCTCTCTCGGTCTCTATTGCCTCATGGAATGCGAGAGAGGATCAAGAATGACAACAATTTATTAGACATGATCTCCTAGGAAGAAGTCACTCAGTGAGTCAAACCGCGTCAGGCAAGTCATATTTCAATACTCGACGACCCTCCTCGTCGTCCCATGTGTGGTGGGCGGTGATACCTTCTAATTTTCACAGCTCGATAAAAAAATCGGAAATTGCCAAAGGCTTCTTCTTTCGTAATACAGAGTCAAAAGTCATCTCAAACAAACAAGCAAGCAAACACAGGACCAGTTTGTCAGACGAGAAGATGAAATACATGACAGTTTTTATTTATCCCCCCACCACCGCTTTCTCCCTTGATTGCAACAGAGAAAGCTATACATGGAGAGAGACTCTGGTAATTATTGCAGAAAAAGAATGAGTAATTACAAAGTTCTTGCCCGAGGTCATAATTAAAAAATGAGATGGGATAAAAAATGATTTTTTGGAAACGTATTATGGAGGAGCAGAGAAAGAAGAAAAACTTGTGAGAGAGAGAGAGCAGCGTTATTTTATCGCGTTTTTATTCCAGATTCAATCGGAGATGAGGAAAAATATTCGTATTTTGATGATATCATCATGCATAACTGTCTGCATAAATAACTACTTTTAAGAGAGAGCAGGAAGTGGGTGGGATGATGATATGCAGGCAGCAGCAGCAGTCGGCGGATCAGAGAGTGAAGTGAGTGATGCGATATATGACGACTTAAGCCTTCTTCGAAGAGATCGTTTAGCATACGACACAGATAGGACGACTACAATGCCATGGTTTTTGTAGTAGTAGTAGTGGGACGACGGGAAAAAGTGGTAAATAGCAATCCTGCACAACTCGTCGTACGTATGTAGTTGTGGCATGTCGTGATCCAAGAGTCAAATGAAGCGTAAGTTGGTCATAAAATGCGAGCGAGTAGAGGAGCGACGCCACCGACGAGGAGGACTCAAATAAGCCATGAGTAATAGGTTGAAATGGAGAGAAAGTAGTGTGTCTGCCTATGAAATAATGGTGCATGGATTACTTATCCCTTTTTCTCGTGATCACCAAACCAATAGTCGTAGCAGCTCTCGAAAGAAGGAAAAAAAGAAAGGAGAAATTCAGGAGGAGTGCAACAGAAAAATCTTTAAACTTTCACGACAAGTAGATCTCTCTGTCATAAAACCCACCCGAGTCTCGTCCCACCCACCCACAGCACATCGAGAGATGAATATAATATAAGGAAAGCAGGAAATACACAGGAAAACAAGAATGGAAATGATGATGGCTCTTTCTTCTTGATCGGTCTATGCAAAACAACCCGATACACAATTGGAGACATGCAGTACGGATTGTCATTATCTTGTAAAATACTTCCTCCAAGCCATTAACGTTCAATTCCTGATGGACTTTTTCCATTCTTTCTTCTACTCCTTGAAAGCAACAAATAACCATTTTTCTTTCTCTCTTTTACAGTTTATCCCTCTGTCAAGCTTCTTTTTTCAAGGATAACAATAACGATAAGCTTGATTATTCACCTTTCTTTATAAATTATATTTCCTTGCTTTCTCTTAGGGAACTTTCTCTTTAAAACTCATATCGACAATTAGTATAAATAGTTTTGAATGTCCAATGCTATATGTAGATTTTCGCCACCTCTTCTTAGAACAATTAACTTATCACCTCACTCACACAACATCATTATAATGAACAAATACGATATGATATGCATATTATGATGATGTTAAATTGCCATTAAGACACTCACCTCATCAACTGGAAGGTCATCCTGCGCCACTGAGTTCACTAGTTTCTTGACGCTGCCCACACAAAGGGTGTGCCTCGCCCTGTTGTAGGAGACGAAGTGGTCATCGCGGAAGTCGATAAGAGAAGAGGTCAGTGATTCGAAGGGGGGCGTTTTCTTCTCATCGCCCATAAAATTCTTGAGAGAGCTCACCTCCTCCGGGGCTAGTACACCGTTCCACATTATGCCCAGATCACTAATTTGATCAATCAACTAACCGGAAGTGGATTTGCGTAATTATTACTTTGCCCTATTTCTTCTTCCGCTGGGCGATAAAAGCGGTGGGTTTTCTTTATTTGCCGGAGTGCAAGAACCCAATCTCCCGCCGGTCTGGGTGGATTGAGATGAAACTCCGGGATGTGAAATGGGCATGGTTTTTCTCAACTTTCTTCGTCACCTTTACGCGTCATCTCATCTGACCTATTGACCATTTGCAGTTAATTTGCTTAATTGACCATTAAGAAACAATCGTCACTGCAGTATTGGCGTCATTAGGGGAAAAAGTACAAATAGATTTGTCATCATGTGATAAAATAGAGATCTGGAATAGTACCACGTTTGTATGTACCATTTTCTTTCATATTTGGATCAAGAAAATAAAAAAAGTCTGCTGGATTATGCACAGCGTAGCCACTTCTTACTTTGTAGACGTAAACAAGTCACATTTTTATCGTAATTTGCAAACTCATCAGATTGAAATTCAAGAGCAGTTCAGGCCATTATCATCCGCAGCTAGCCAGCTAGTTATTATTATAGCGTGTAGTACGAATATTATCATCTGACACATAAAATCGACTTGACATACGGACAACTATCGAGATGATAATTATTTAGTATCCAGTCCAATCCACTATTTTCTCGTCATGCATGATATACCCAAATTACGCAAATTTTCCTTTTTGCACGGTATTTTTTTAGATACAAAAATTCGTAAAAATGTACAACAAAATTTATCAAAGATAAAAGTGTTAAAAAACATTCGCAAATTTCAACTGCAAATTCGCTCCCATACAAATTTGCATATTACATATTTTAAACCGTACATACAAGTAAAGTCCAGGGAGGCGTCGGCAGTTCATTTTTTGGCCGTTTCTCCAACACGCTCGGCTTCCATCATCATCGTCCTGCCTGCATGCAAGTCTTTGTTTGCGTTATTACGCAACAGCTCTGCCCACAGTCCACACGCTCAAGCAGGGACAGTTTACATTATCCATGGCTAATTATTCATGACGGAGAAACCTTTGACCTGGCCCCTTTGTTAAGTGACATAGTCGTGACGACTATTTAACCAAGATGCTCCCACCACTTATTCCGCACTCTTTTTTAGCTGCTCCTCATCATCATCCGCGCTACTGCTGCTGGACATATTTGCATATGCACAAGTACGGAAGAAGTTTGTTGCACATTAAAACTTGTGGCAGCCTACCTGGCGACTTTTCTCCTCTAATAAGTAAACACTACCCTCCCATCCATCCATCCATCCACCTACCTACCTCTCTGTGCTCTCTTGATCTGATTTAAATCGGGTTTCGGTGAAATCGGATTTTCCCCGGTTTGGACGACGGTGACTGACTGACTACCTCCACCTCTGTTGCTTGCTCCCCAATTCGATACGGCCAAATAAACACGAACCCGATTCGGGAATTCATTTATATTTATTTCATATACCTGTTCGAGTGTAATAATCACACGAGTTCGGGGTTAATTCTGCCCTACACAAAACTCCACGCTGGACGCTGATCGCTTGACATATTAGTGGAGTGAAGGTGACAAGGTGTTTTCAGTAACAAGTTAACTAACGTGCCGTCCAGTACGACGACGACTCCGCGTCTAAATATAAAATACTACCCGGCAGGCCAGCCAGCCACGCTTTCACCAGGTACGACGACCACCTTTCTCTCTTTGTTTGTGTCTCACGTTGTCCCACGGGTTACATGTCCTATCATTTCTTGTCTGTCGCTCCCTTCCCCTGCGTGATTCCGGTCAGTGTAGATTTCTCCATAAATCGACACAAAAACTAATTTTACGCAACCATGTCACAATTCATTATGCAACTCGCACCACCATGGGCAGCACAAAAAAGCCTTGTTTTATGCATGTGTTTACTCCTTTCGATCCAGTTCGTATTAGTCATCATCGTAATGACGAAGGCTTGATTCATGGGGATAATTTGTTCCGTCTTTTCACAATAAATAATATTTTTCCTCGTCTTGTCTGTTTGTCAGGAATCGGTTCGAGAAGAAGAAGAAGGGACGGTGTGAACTTGTGGGAATAAGATACATACTCGTTAGTTTGTGTGAAAGAGAGACTTATTACCGGGTGAATTGGATTGCTGCTCAGCCGAGTTGGAGTGTGGAGAAGAAGAGCGTCGTCTCACTTTCCCAAGTGTGCAGATATTCGGGGCTAGGAGTGAGATCAATTGTTTAGCAATAGGCAGACTAACCACGGAGGGAGGTGAGACAAGGTGAGAAAACGTAACTATTCCCTACTTTCCCCAGACTCAAGCAGCATCAGAAGCTATCATTTGCATTATTATGAATACGCCACGCAATACTGTGACACGATATTCATACATATTTAGTCATGAAGAATGGCTAACTAAATGATGCACATTTGATGACGGTGTCTCTTTCTACGCAGTCTTTTTATTAATTTTTACCCGTAGTGGATCTCATCTTTTGGTATAATTGATAATTACTCGCTATGTGTACTCATATATGTACACTACCCAAAGCTACCAGCTTTCACTCGTCGTAGTGGATCTTGTTTGAAGAAATTTTATGCTTCCCTTCCTCCTCCATCGCGAGAGGAGGAGGAAGAAGAGGAGAATGTAATTTTTAAGTAAATTTTTCATTTTCGAATGATGGAATGAGGAAAAGTTTTTAAAATTAGTGCTAATTGACGTTTCCATCCATGCTGCTGCTGTGCTGCTGCTTAGGGTTCTTATTCCTCGGCTCAGCTGCTTGCTTACTTTGTAATTAGTACGGAGAAAGAAATGGAGACCTACCGTCGAAGGGAAGAGGAGACTCTCAAACGATATGGTGTGGGCAATAATTCAAACGATCAGTTGCGGAGCTTGTAAAACAAAATGAAATGAAAAAAGGAATGAAGTAGCTCAGCAGCACAGCGGCTCATTTGGGATTCTCTGTGTATTTATAATTAATGGCATCTCGCGATATGGGAGCCTTGCATTTTAGAATCCAACTTAACACGGAATGAATCAGCAGAGGAAGAAGAGATGAATTTGATTTTCTTTATGGATAGATAGACATTTATAGCGATCCGAAAATAGGAGAAGGGTGACGTGGGATTGAATTGGGGGGTCTTTCCTGTAGAGAAAAGAATTATGATGCACATTTTATTTTGAGCTCCTTCTCCTTAAATTGGGAACTTTTCTAAGTAATTGCAATTCTCTAATCAAAGTAATTCCAAGTATTTTCACAATAATTTGAATCCTATGTCCTCCTGCTCCGTAAATATCAACAACTTTCTTCACCAAGGAGGAGGAGGTGATGTAATAATGAGATGAGGCATGACTCGTATGCATGCATTTATGTAGGAATTGAGCAACCAGCCCAAGTTTCAAAGTACACATACCCCCACGCACACATACACACACTCACATTTCATTGACATTTAAAAGTGAACTTTATACCCATGTTGAAACCGTGAGGAGTGTGTTTATGTTGTCGGGAATCATGTTATGACCATACGTTCAGTATTTATGAGGAAAAGAAAGAGTAACGAAAATCGAAGTTTATGGCCTATGTCGTATTTATACGGCAGTAAAAATGGAATTGGTAGGTAAATGGAACATTTATTCTCCTTCGCCTCGTTAAATGGGGTCCATTTAAAAAAAGTCAACATTACCTTTGACATGACGGAGAAGAGGAGGGAAAAAATAAAAATACGGGATCCATCCGTTATCACATCACTTATTTATTAGCCAAGATTTTGTGGGAAATGAGTCAAATTTGCTGTTTTTTTGTTATTACAATTCGTGTGAAATGAGACGATACAAGTTTTTAAGCAGTGTTTGCTGGCTGGCACGTCATCATTGTAATGTTGCTGTTTCACGACGTGGAGATAATAATGAAGTTTTGAATGAGTTGTTGTTACGCGTGGTGGTATCATAACATTTAGTGAGTGGTGGTCGTCGTATATGAGGCGAAAGTATGTAGGCAGAAAATCCATGGGATGCAAATGTAGGAGCGACTTTTAAGTGGACGACGATTCTGGGAGCGATTTCGTTAGTTCATCGAGGATTCATTGAGGAGCGAGGATGCAGCTTCTGGGAAGCAGCAATCTCTATCGTTCATAAATTGGAAAGGCCTCGAAATCCCCAATGAGCTATCGTTTCTTGATAGAAGGCCAAGAACTCAGCCTTTAATTTCCTATCTTGTTTCTATGCAAACTTTAATCGGGTAGCTTCCACTACCCGATTCCACTACGACTTCCCACAGGAGTTGTAATAAAAATAAGAGGAGGAGGAGGTTTGAAGCGCTCGGAAATAAAGAAGAAGAATGAAAAAGTAAAAGGAGCCTTATAGTTCCTCACACAACAAAACTGCAAAACCTTCTCGGCTTATAAATCCACTACTACAAATGCGTTCACTCACATCAGATCCACCATCCATCCATCTATTTAGCCAGCCGTTTTGGTAGGAGAAATGCACAGGGATTCATTCCGAACCTTTGTTGTCCTCTCAAAACTCGATTCACAAACCAACGCGTAGTATGTCATGTGTATGTATTGCTCTTTTCCCTACTAATTTCACCCGTCGACATGGGTGCACTTTTACTTTTGAAGCCCTCGGATTCATTGGTCTCCAATATTTTCAATGCTTTGACAGAGAAATTAATAATGTTGATTGTCTTTCCTGTTGTACTTTTCCTCTCGGTTCGCAGTCCTATCTCTTCCTCGATCCGCTATGCAAATGCGTTTCAAGGGTGAAGTCGATGAGGTTCAAACTATTACCATGCGCCGCCTGTGGAAGTATATGTACAGCTTGTAATATTTATGTTGTCCTTTCCAGCTCAGTCAGTTTCATTTCCTTCCAAAATAACTTTACCGTCGGTCGTATCACTTATTATTGTTGGGGTTCCAACAAAAGAGTCCGAGAGTTGCGTAATTATTCTCCAAAAACTCTTTTGTTTTATCTGTGAACTGTCTCGGATATTTCGAAAGAGCTGACGGCATTCCTTAATTTCTCTAAATTTATCAGATCATTCATTCACTTGGTGTAGTAATCAGTTGTGCATATTTATTACTCTCTCTTTCTTCTGCTTCCGTCTCTTCTCCCATTTTCTGAAATGAAATGAAC